TCTTGTCTTTAGGCGATTTTCGTGGGTGTAATGTCTATTTACATTTCTTGTGCATAAAACATCTGAAGTCTGAAGTAAACCTGACTCATTTGTTTTAGAAATAATGTAATCATTTATTGGCTGGAGTAATTAGCTAAATTAAAGATAATCTTAAAATACATGTTTAGAACAAATTAGTTTGTTGATTTCAGACCTCTGACGGACCAGTCGTACAATTCCTCGCTATAAGTCTTGCAGAGATATCACAATTTTTCAGCAAATAATAACATGTCATCACCAATTAAACATAGCTTTAAGTTGGTAACAACCAAAAAATATTTTTCCTTGAATTCGTAATTTTGTTACAATATCACATAATTTGTCTTCTTTCGATAAGTCGCCCGATAATTTAAGTGTATGCATAAATTGTACGGTTTAACGATCAATACCAAAGATTATCAGTACAGAATTATTTCATATATAACATATTTAGGTATATATATCCATTTTTACGTTTATGCACCAATGTATTGCAGAGTTGTAAAATGGTAATCTCAGTAGAATTTGTATTGTTTTTCAGGCAGTTGCACCTAATTATATTCAACCAGGTATGAATTCGGAGTTTGTTAAGTCGAGGACTAGGACGGATTTTCCGAAGGATCAAACTCAGTTAACATCTAAACGCTCCTCATTATGTCGGTCAAGAAAAGTGTTGCCCAGTAAAAAGTTATCGAGACAAACCCCACTTCTTTATTCGAGAGGAATATTCAGAATCAAGAGGTCTGACGAACACCAAAATTTAAAAGGAGAGGTGGATGGAGTCAATAAAAGTAATGAATTTTACATTAGATCTAAAAAGAACTATTAGATGATAATATAAAGAACGTATTCCAGGTCTTGAAGTCAGACAAAAATAACTATTCACTTGAGTCTGGTGATCATAACGTAAATGAAGAAGAGGATGTTGATGAAGACAGAAATAAGAAATATATGGAGGAGGAATCAAGTTCTTGTTCAACAGATGACGAGCTCGAAAACAAAAACGCAAAGAGCACGAGAAAAAATGCGTCAGAGGTAAGTTCGCCAATATAATGACATGTTGCCGATGGCCAGTGGACATACGAGTTTTGTTGTTCAAAGCAAGAGAGGGTTTATATATTTATCATTACAAACTACTGGATGTTCATGGTAAGAAGAGCTGGGTAGAAACTCCAAACTACAGCTCAGAGTATTGGTAGACTGTCTGGAGATCAATGATTTGTCGTCCAACATAGTAACGATTAAAGCGATTGTATGATCTATCTAGGTATTAGTGACATTTTACTGACCATGCGCTAATAATTACCCAATAAAGTCTCATACCAAAATTCAGTGAATTCTGAGATCAGCTAAATACATCACAATAGAAAATATGTCGCTGACAACTGTTGAAAAGTGGTTCTAGATTACTTTGCATTTTCCATTTATCATAACAGTTCGTATATTTAAATAAAATAACCTACTTGACAATGTCAAGTCTGAAGTTTTGAAGATTATGAATTAAATGATGAGAGATGTAATGGGTTTATCTCCATGACAACTTGTTAGCTTGAACAAAGTGTCTGTCTGTTTATCTCAGCTTTCATTGGTTTGTTCACTAACAATGATTTGTGACCCAATATCCAGTGATTTTAATTGGTAAAAGTTTAATATGTATGTTATGTTAGTTAATGTAATTTGCTTCGTTTTGTCGACTTGATTTTTGCATTAAGATTTCCCTACTTCTAATTTTAAGGTTTTTATGAAATTCAGAAGATTGTAAACAACTTTTTGAAAAGTTTCACTTTTTTACTGAGTAAGACAAGACTATCAAAATAAATATAAGCTTTTAAAGGAAGAAATCAAGTAAAATCTCAGGCGATCGTTTGATAACCAGTAGCAAAAATTAACCTGTAACAAGTTTAAATAAAGGTTAACTTTAAATGAATTTTCCTGGTTTCGAAATAAGAGATATAGTTTGAGGAATGTTTGTAGTTTGGTTAGCTGTTACTCTTTGAGGTTAGCAGTCAATCAGAAGGAATTTTGTCGTCTTGCTAGACGTTGTTGTCAAATATAAAACTAGCTTCAAAACTGCTTAATGAAGTTATCTAAAATAATTCTTTAATTTCAAGTATTTGACTGTAAAGCAGCAAGCCTTTAGATACAAGATCACCTCAAGTTGTCATACAACTAAGAAAATTAATTGGTGTATCTAACATTTGTTTTAGTCCGTAAGAAAGTGTCGCAACTAAGTTTGTGGCAGTCGTAATATATGAGTCAGATAAGTTCATTTATTTGTCAATGAAGTATATTAACAATTTTTTTAACATACCCTACTAGTCCACAGAATACCTGAGAAAAACAGAAAATTATGAACTACCGAACATACGAAAAACCATTGTTCGTCTTCAAGAGAAGGAGGTATGTTGAAAACCATGAATGAATTCTATTTCTCCAAATTAAAGCTACCTCCTTGACCGTTCTATGAAAAGATGTTGTCCTCTAAGGGATTGTAATAAATAAATGAAATTGTTCAACTAAAGATGTGGTCATAATAATGAACGTGTGAATTATTTTTTATTTAATAGACCGTGAAGTGCTCTTAGGGAGCTTTTAAATGGATTTAGGTGGCTTAAATCAATCGTAGTAATATGAAAGCAGGAAGGTATATAAAGAACAAGTTTTCACTTCTCTGGTTTCGAAAACGTTTAGTTTACAATAGCAGGGTAAAATTCACTTTTTATTTAAAAAGTCTTTTTTCTATTTGTTATAAATTCGAGTTTAATTTAAATTGCAGGAGTAATTTATAAGTACGGGGTTCATAGTAGTAATTGCTCGTCAGATGTTGTAAATAAAACCCTATGAATGTTGTACTATATTTGCTGCCATAGTATTTGTGAGTGCCATTATTTATTTTGTGTATAAAGCGCTATTATATTGCAGTGAAATTGGAATTGAACTTATTGAAGACATTGGAAATTAACTATTTTTAACAATGCATGTAAAATCATTGAGTTGAACAACAGCAACTCGTTTAGATTCATCATCATTAAACATAATAAGACAACTAATCGCTGAATATTCATTTATTTACTATTTACAAGAATATTTTATTGATTTTGTTTAATTTTAATGAATATAGTCTTTAATCAGTCCGTTAATTGAACTCTTGTATTATCTTATGTGCTTGTCACTCAGTTAAAAGACAGAATCTTTTGATAGAACACGTGAGTTCATCAAGGTTTGAAGTCAGCTTGCTAAAATTTTCGAGATTTCCGTGGACTCAAAGTAATATTGCAGACGTTATATCTACTCATTTATAAAATCATGGTCAAAATTAGATTTGACGCATAATTGACTAAAAATTTACCAAATCAATTCATGTGTAGATTTCGAATGTCTTATAGCCATTGTCGGTGTTACAGATTCTCTTTTGTTCGCTCTCACCATCAGTCTGCTAACGGTTTATGTATAGGCCTGTGTAAACTCTAGATCAGAAGACTAAGAAAACCGGCTAAGTGCATTGCATGCGTTTGTATTATTACAATTAACAGGATTACATGGCTATCCATACCAAATACATGAATATGACGAACCACAAATAACAAATCTGAGTAAACATAAAACGATGACAGTAATGGTTCAGAACTGAGTTACGAGTTTACGATTAATTAAAAATAATTTATGGAGAATGAAAGATTTAGTAACATTCAGTGTGTCATTGAAATCTTAAAATTGGAGTAATGATAAATAAGTTCAATAAATATGCATTGTAAATATTTATATTAGATTCCCGGAGAATGGTCTCCAAACTTCCATCATTCTTATCATCTTAATAAATAGTGGATCATTTATGAATTTGTTTAGTAATACATGGCTTAAGGTGAATTATTTAAATGTTGGTCATCACTTTAGGTTGGTGTTAATTCTCAAAAGGTGAACCCAGTTAAGTAAATACCCACTAAATCTTTGTGATACCTGTTTCTCAGCGGAACCTAGCTAGTATTTTAATTCTTCGTGATCAGCGTTTTTATGCTAAACTAGAGTAAATACTATAATTATGTCGTTTGAAGCTGTTAAAATTTCTTGTCCAAAAGAGTTTGTTTTATCCATTGTTTATATTCAGTGCTGAGGTCCGCTTAATCATTATTGGCTTCCAGGGAATAAGCTCAGAATAGGGTCGAACGTGATCTGTTGGTTCAGTAGCTAAGTGGAATTTATTACAGTTCGTGCTTTCATCAGAAATATTTAAAGTATAAGAAAAAAGCATTTGTGACGGAAAGTCCAAAAGTACTCCTTAATAATATATGTCCAAATAATAATAATAGATATCTCAGCCAGTTGAAAGCATGGTTAATTAATCGAACAGTGCAGATCACTAGAATTTAATGCCAATGAAAAAGCAAATATTCTGTTTTCAGAAAGTTTTGTATTCTGACTTTTTTCTGTTTAAGCTCTTTGTCACCTGATTTTAAACATATTTCTTACATAATTGACAGGTCAGTCTATTTTCGACACTTTCAAACTTTCAATTAGAACGATAAAAGCCCAAATAGATGGTCAAAAACACCTTTATTATTGAAATCTATAATTCACATAATTTCATGCGAAAGATAAAAGATTAAAATTAGACTAGAATTTATAAATTTTGACAGATATGGGGCCATTATTTTTTCACAAATACAAGTAACTCCTTCATAGTTGAATGATCATAATTTATGAACAACAAAAGATATCGTCGCTACAATCAACAATTCAAAAAGTGGCTTATAATAAACACTATGAAACATGTCATAAAAAAGACTAATTCACCAAAAATAACTATTTCACTGTTATATATGTCTTTTCTGCCTCACTCTAACGATACTAAATTTGAAACCAAGCTTTATTAAATATTTTTTCGGTTTGGAAGATTTTACAAAGAACGCAAGCAATAGAAGCAGAATTTTATGAACGTTTGATTGAACTTAGAAAAGAAAATGAAACTGAAGTAGCAAAAAATTATGAATCGTAAAAATGCTGAATTAATTGCTGTACAAAAAGCTGCTGAATTGAAACATTGTGAACTTCGTCAAGCAATAGATAAACTAGAAAACCAATTATCTGATACAGTCAACAATGCTGATCAAATTAAACGTAGCTCTGAAGAGAAAGTAAATCCATAAAAAACCTTCAATATTAATTTTTATTTTGATTGTTTGTTGAAATTAATCAGTATGATTATTACGATCACTGAGGATCCTGTGTTCGATGCCCGTTGAAGTCATCCTTTTGTACTACTGAGGAGTTCCAAGTTAGGATAGAGCAACTGTCCATTGCTTTCTGATTTCTAATGATTCATAATCTGAAGCCATTTCATGATGTATATTATCTTAAAATCAAATAGAAACTTGAACATTTAGTTTCTAATTTTATTGTATTCAAAACATTAAATAATCCAATTATTCAAGCAACTTGTAATATGAGATTACATATAAATTGAGACTATGTGATGCGATTCAGTAGTATGGTGTCTTTTTTTAATCCATGGACGATTAAACATAGTTGATGTTGATCTCACTTAAAACTACCATAGTTGTACAAGATTTTCTTTGACATCGTAAGTAGTAATACAATAATTAATCTTTTATTTGATATTGCAATGACTAAAGCGCTAAAATATAAGAATTCTCTTTATAATAAAGAAATTTGATATCAGAAGGGACTGATAGGTCCTGGGTTCAAATTTCACGAGGCGAGATTGTGGATACACACTGCTTAGGAGTTCCACAGCAGGATGAAACAGTCACCCAGTGCTTCCAGGTTTTCAATGGTGGTCTAGCTTCAATTGACTCATAATCTCAACTACTAGAAAGAATTTCGATTGATACTCAACAGTTGATTAGCATGAATTCGATTATTAAATATAGTAACTTGTTGTTTGACAAATGTTAGTTTTTTCGAAAAATACCTTTTTTTAAAACAGAAATGCGATTACTTATTAAATGTAATTGGTTCAGATTGATGAGCTTGTTAAATTACAATGAATGAAGTTAGTAAATTTATTATTTGCTACAAGGTTCAGATTAATGGTAGCTGACTTTATTGTTAATATGAATACATTTTAAGAAACAATATCAGCTATTGAAATATACGTAAATTATTTGTAAAATTGAATAATTCCTTATTATCCTTTATGTAATTAAAGGTGAAATAGTTGAAAATGTTTTTGTTACAACTAATTAATATCATTCACAGACCAAATTGCGGCACTACGGATAATCGTCGAACAATCAGTTGTGTGAAACTCGTCACCATACATCAATTTCATCGAATATGAAAAGGCATTTGACAGTGTAGATAGAAGAACATTATGGAAGCTTTTTCGACACTATCGAGTTCCTGCGAAGATTGTCAACATTATCCGGAACTCATATGACGGACTACAGTGCCAAGTCGTGCATGAGGACAGCTGACAGATGCACTTCAAGTAAGGACCGGAACCAGACGAGAATGTCTACTCTCACCCTTCCTCTTTCTTCTGGTGGACGACTGGATTATGAAGACCTCGACATCTGAGGGTAAGCATAGAATACAATAGACAGCATGAATGCAGCTAGACGATTTGGAATTAGCAGGTGACCTAGCCCTCCTATCGCATACACACGGACAAATGCAGATAAAGACAGCCAGTGTAGCGGCAGTCTCAGCAATGGTAGGCCTCAACATACACAAGGGGAAAACCAAGGTCCTCAAATACAACACGGAGAACACCAGACCAACCACACTTGATGGCGAAACTTTGGAAGATGCAGAATCCTTCACATACCTGGGAAGCATCATCGATGAACAAGGAGGATCAGATGCAGACGTAAAGGTGAGGGTCGTCAAAGGAAGGGCCGCATTCCTACAATTGAAGAACATATGGAACTCAAAACAACTTTCAACCAATATCAAAGTGAGAATCTTCAATACGAACGTGAAGACAGTTCTAATGTACGGAACTAAAACTTGGAGAACTACAACAACCATCATCAAGAAGGTACAAGTATTTACAAACAATTGTCTACACAATATACGCAATGTCCGTCGTCGGCAGGATACAATCAGCAACAGCCTTCTGTGGGAGAGAACAAACCAGCTTCCAGTTGAAGAAGAAATTAGGAAAAGACGATGGAAGTGGATAGGACATACATTACGCAAATCATCAAACTGCATCACGAGGCAAGCCCTAACTTGAAATCCTGAAGGGAAGCGGAAAAGACGAAGGCCAAATAACATATTACGTCGGGAAATAGAAGCATATATGAAAAGGATGAATAATGACTGGAAGGAGCTGGAAAGGATTGCCCAGGACAGGGTTGGATGAAGAATGCTGGTGAGTGGCCTATGCCCCTTCGCGAGGAGTAACAGGCGTAATTAATTAAATAATGTAATTGTGAATATACTTTAACTTGACTGATGCAAGTTATAAATTCATGTAGAGAATAATCATCTATAGGTTAGTCACATATACAATTTAGAAGAAAATCTATGCTATTTGTTCAAGAAATATGAATTTTTCTTGTTATATAGATGAATCAATTACAGTCAGTAATGAATAAACAATTTGAAAATCTATTGAAACAATCTAATGAACAACGTGAATTTCTTATACAAGAACATGAGAAAACATTGAAAGATTTACAAAATAAAATGAATCTACTTTTAAAGAACTGGAAATAAATAAATCCTTTGTTATAGAACTAGAATCAAAAATGGAATTACAGGTAAGTTAAGGTTATACAGTTTGTTAGTTTAATAATTAATACATTTGCAAATTACTGGAAAATTCCTATCAGATTAAAACACGGAGAATAATCATTTCAATAAATTCTCTAAGTTCTACAATTGAATATTCAAGAGTGGTTAGATTTACGACAATTACAACACTTTACATTACAGCTAATCCGTGTCACGTAAAGACGGGTATCTACCTCAGACAATGGAAGATGATCGCGCTGTTTTGCGGATTGGTTGAAGATAAACATTAACACCGCTGAATGTCGGCTCAATGGTCTAGAGGTTAAGCGTCCGCGCGTGAGTCCGAATTCTGCGAGCGGGATCGTGGATGCGCACTGCTAAGGAGTCCCATAATAGAACGAGACGGCCTTGTAGTGCTTCCAACTTTTCAATGGTGGTCTAACATCGACCGATTCATGATCTCAATAAAAAATACTTAACAATCTCCACAAACCCATAATGATAACTTCGAATAAAATAAATAATTTATGTCCGGATGACTAATATGGATTATAAGATTAAATAAATTTATATGTTGTAAAGAATATTTTTCGTTTGTATATCTGACTTTTTAAAAGTATTTTATTGCATAGCTGAAGTGAGTTTTAATCATAAATTAGGTTCAAATAAATATTGAATATAATAGTTTAAATCATAAGTCAGTTAAAGATAGACCATCATGGGAAAACCTGGAATCACTGGATGACCGTCTCGTCCTATTGTGGGACTCCTCAGCAGCGCGCATCCACGACCCCACCCCGCGGGATTCGAACCCAGGACCTATCAGTCCCATGCCAGGCGCTTAACTAACTAGACCACTGAGCGGTCCAGTGCTTCCAGGTTTTCCATGGTGGTCTAGCTTCAACTGACTCATGACCTCAACTGTTGAAATTACTAAAATCTCCACAGAATCCCTTCTGATTCTAATTTCTAATTTCTTTAAAGATTTCATTCATAAATTTGAAGAAACATTTACTGAAAACAAATTTTATATATAGAAGTTAAATTTCATTTTCTATCTTGTTTTCATTAACTAATTTCATTAATAAAAGCACAATCAAATTAAAAGTTTAAAAGGACAATTAACAAATATCATGACAGAAAGAAATGAGTTAGAAGAATCATTAAAAGTTAAAACAGAAAAAGAGAAAGAAACATTGAAAAATCTAAAACAACTTCAATGTGATTTGAATGAATTAACCGATAGGTAGGTGAATAAATAAAGTAGTAAGGCATTTACTTACCTTCCTTTAAAGTACTATATATATATATATATATATATATATATATATATATATATATATATATATATATATATATATATATATATATATATTACTTACGCCTGTTACTCCTAGTGGAGCATAGGCCGCATTCCATATACCTAAATAATGGTTGCTCTGGTCATCAGAAGGGGCATCGGCCTCGTGACTTCCGAAAGAACCCGGCTTTCACCTTGAGGCGTCATAACTCTTCTAAGTGAAGACCTTCTGACTTCCAGGGCAGAGTTTAAGAAGTTCGAATAATTTTTTCTGGTTAGCGTTGTTTTAGCGAGTTATTTTTCTACGGGATGTGGTCGCCAACACCTTGCCCAACCCTCCTTTATACGAGCTTGTGACCGGCAGTAGCCCTCGGAGGGACTCCAGGAGGAGTTATATATATATATATAAGCAGGTTACTTAATAAGTACCAAATAAGTATATATGTAATAATAGTTCATAAATAATTCCTAATAGTTACCATTTATTTATTCTTCTTTCAAATATAACACTTATCGAAACTGGATATCACTTGAAGGACTAGATAAGTAGTGTAATTTTAAGTATACTACCCAATTGTCGAGAAAGATCTTTTTACAATATAATCTTAAGCTTCTGCGTTTGTTAGTCCAGAATTGAAAACTAGGTTGAAACATCCTTCTAGTTCTTTTGAATGTTTTTTCTGTGAATTTGTGATTCAAAGATAGAAATTATCATTCATTAATTGACTGATAATTTATTTCGCACCTATTTTTTTAATTTTAATTTTTATTTAGATATAAAACATTAGAATCAAAGTATAACATGTGTCTTGAAGATTATAACCAAGAATTAAAACAAATTCGTTCAGATCACGCCAAGCGTATATGTGCAATGGAATTAGAACGAACAAATAATGAAAAGCAATATGAAACTAACCTGGAAAAAATTAAGGATGAGGTATTTTTGATAGAATATTTTAATTGATTTACTATGTAATTTTAGGTTTATGTACATGATTTGTCTGGTAGATACACAAAATGAGCTACTGCTATACTTATCGGTAAAGCACAAGAAAAACTTCAAGGAAATCTATTCAGTGATGAGTGAAAGTTACGGAGATAATGCGTTAAAGAGGAATGATATTTTCGAGAGAATCGTGGGTTTCAATGACGACAATAAAAGCTATAAGAATAATGAAAGGCCAGAACAACCACCGACCTCCTGGGTTTATAATGTTGTTTAGTGTATGGAGTATCTTGTGATTTCCAGTTGCCGATCTGCTTCCCAGATAGTAACTGATGAACTATTTTTGATTGTCTGTGGAAACAATTTAGGTAAAATATAAAACAATGGGAGATGATGACCGAGGTTACAAGGACTTACAGCGATGTTTTTAAAATAGAAATTGAGATTCGAAAGGTGTACCGTCACAACTTGGGAATATTTTGTAGGGTATGATACTGATATACTCTAAAGTTTGTAAAATAAAGATTTGTTTAACTTAAACCATGTATTTGTCCGACAGTAGTATTGTGGTGCGTGCTACTTATATTGATATAAGTAGTATATTATGCGAGTCAGGAATGTAATGCCTGTCAGCAGAAGATGAGGGAAGATCAAGAAAGCAAGAGCGGAAATAGAATGCAATTTGTATGAAAATGTAAGAACAATGAAGTCCAGGGCATTTGAGACAATTGTGAACATTTTGCAAATTAACAATTTAATATATGGTTCTCAAATTTTATTGAGAAGCTCTGTTAATGTATGTTTAATGCATTCGATTGGTACCGCCCGTGTTCTCTTCACTGCAGTATAACTGATTAGCGGAGTTATTAAATGCATTCATTCAGAGAAAATGTGGTCAAGTTAAATGACACATTTTACTGACAACCATCTCATAATATATTTCAGTTATTTGCAATATTTGATTCTATGAATTACAGTCTTACGTACTTAAAAATGTATTCTTAAATAAACTACACGGTAATTCGGAAGCAATAACTCTGTGATGTCTTTATTAATCTTCTTGAATAGAACTTGCAAAATATTCATTTAAATGAAGCAAGAACAAATATTGGTGCAGAATAGTATGAATTCATATTATTTCGAGGTTTCTCGTCAGCTGCTTACAAACCAAAAATGTGATAGAATTTTTACATTGAGATAGAGTGAAAACAATTGACATAGATGAGTGTAAATAACTGGGTTACAATAATAACTATATATATATATATATATATATATATATATATATATATATATATATATATATATATATATATATGCTAGAACAGGTCAGAGGTCAAAAGGAATTAAGTCGGGTTTGGTGGTGTAATAATGGAATTGGATAATCATAAGATAGGCTACGTAATAATAAAACCCAAAACCCACAAGCACGACATCTCGATTAGATCTATGACTAATTCGCCTTTCCATAAGCTCGCCCGCTGGCTAACAAAGTGCCTAGAACCAATCCGAAAGAAACTAACACCTTACAGTCTAAAAGATAGTTTTGAATTTGTACAAAAACTCGACAACCTAAATGTTTCCGATAAATTTATGGTTTCATTTGACGTCTCATCGCTCTTCAAAAACATCCCCTTGGAAGAAACGATGGAGACCATATGTGAATATCCTGAACTTCTACCCCTACCAATCCATGAGTTTAAACAGCTCCTCTTTTTGTGTACAAAAAACATACAACTTCAATCCAATGATGTCCTTTACCGCCAAATCGATGGAGTTGCCATGGGTAGCCCATTGGGCCCAATTCTTGCCGATATATTTATGGGAAACCTAGAACAAAAAAAGCTTAAACACGCAATCGATGGTACTACGCTATATTGTAGATATATTGATGACACATTCCTCATCTGCAACAATCACGAACACGCCATTAAGCTACTCGATCTATTTAATAAAGCACACGAGGACATAGAGTTTACTATGGAACAAGAAGCTAAAGACAAATTCCATTTCCTTGATGTTGGGATCCGACGAACATCTGATGGTAAATTACATATACATATTCACCATAAAAATGCATGGAGTGGTCTATATCTCAATTACCACAGTTTCTGCCCAATGAGTTACAAAAAGGGTATTGTACGAACTCTTTTTGACCGCGCTCAAAAAATTTGTTCAAAAGAATACCTGGATGATGAAATTAATCTGATTACTAATGTTCTACGTGATAATGAATACCCATTGAAATTGATCCAGAAATATGCAAAAACCAATCCTCGTACAAAATACGATGGAGTAGAAAAGAAAACCTGCTTCTTACACTTACGCTTCAAAGGTGATGAAATTGCCGGAATAATTAATCACAGAATAAACTCTGCGTTGAAAGTGACCTACCCAGCAGCAAAACTTATGACAGTATGGCAAACGAACTGCTCACTTCAACAAACCAAAATCGACAAGCCCTCTTTTCTTAGTAGCTCCAACTGCATCTACCAATTCACATGTACGTGCCAAAGCGCATACATTGGAAGAACTGAGGGGAGAGTGCATGTCCGCATTTCTGAACATGTTCCAAAAAACTTGAGGCTGCGAGGGACTAAGGCTTTCAACAGCGCAATAGCTCGACATCTACTTGACACCGGACACACCGTGGACATTCAGCATGCTTTCAAAATTATCAATAGACAAAGAAGTACGACCACCCTCCGTTTTGCTGAAGCCATTATGGTCAAAAAACTTAAACCGAACTTATGCATTCAAAAAGAGACTTTAATAAACCTATCACTACCCTGGTAACCCTTTTTTTTGTGTGTTTTGGTTAGTTGGGTTATTTTATTCATTTATTTATTTTAAAATATTTATACTCATCCCCTATTACATAATTCATAAACCACATTATTATTCACACATTTCCACCACCTGATCCTCTTAAATTATCTTAACTTTTCAAATTCTATTTAATTATTATTACGTAACCTATCTTACGATTATCCAAGTCCATTATTACACCACCAAACCCGACTTAATTCCTTTTGACCTCTGACCTGTTCTAGCATATATATATATATATATATATATATATATATATATATATATATATATATAGTTATTATTGTAACCCAGTTATTTACACTCATCTATGTCAATTGTTTTCACTCTATCTCAATGTAAAAATTCTATCACAATGTTTGGTTTGTAAGCAGCTGACGAGAAACCTCGAAATAATATGAATTCATACTATTCTGCACCAATATTTGTTCTTGCTTTATTTAAATTCATTAACAATTATCATCACAAACTCATTGATATCCATAAACACCTAATCTGAAATGAAGTTGATTTGTATCTAGAAAAAAATGACGATATTTTCTAAATATCTCTTTGATCTTAAAAAGTATGCGTGTTTCATTGATGATGTAGTTAAATAACACTTCTATGAACAATGACATTCAAAATTTATCAGCAAGGTTTCTTTACAGCTACCTTTGACGTTTTCAAGCTAGTTATCTTTTTCATTGACTAACTTAATTCAAAATCACTTATGTTTATTGAGATAATGATGCAAGATCATTTTCACATTACAATCTTCATCAATATTATAACTATTAATTTAAGTAACTACTACATAGAATAAATTATGGAATTTATTAATCAAAAACTTAACGATGTACTAAACTTTAACTTATTTGACCACTGAAGAACGTTCTATAGAAGAACGATGAAAGCTCCACGACCAAACCATCCAGCTCAGAGAACAAAACTCTATCAAAATCATCTACCTGAGCTACAAATCTTCTCCGTCATCTTATTTGTCCATGTTAATCAGGCCTAAATGAGCAATTATTTCTGTTAAACGGTATCAAGTAGTCAGAAGAAAATGTTGAACTTGGGTTTTCTGTTAGTTTATACTCATCGGTAAGGCATAGCTGTGATTTTAGGAGAATTGGTGTTTCATGGTGGATTTGAGCCTGTGTCACTTAGTTTTACAGTTCGAGATGTTACCATATAGCTATTAGAACGAAAACTGAACTCCCACAGGACTGAGATACATAAAATTGACTTTTCATTAGGTAGTGACAAATCTTGTTTTCTTTATCATTTGATGCTAAGTAAATTCTATCGATCAAGTTGCAATATGGCCATTAGTTTGAATAACTCAATTAGGGTTCCCCTTGTAACTCAACAAATCAAAATCCAAGGTTACGTAGGTATATATTGGGTAATTTTAAGTTTTAAAAGCGCCTTAATACGCATAATATACTCTTATTTTACTTCGTTGATAAAATGAGACTATTACAATAGTATTCAATATAGTGGTGTATTTCATAATTATTGATTTTTAAAATTATTATGGGTCCTTAATTATAAGTGCGGGTATACTGGCCATTTCTTTCCATTACAACTTTTAAATATAATAAAGAAATGTCAGTTCTTGATAAAATTAACCGTATTTTGTCAGAAAAGCGTGATAAAACAATTACTGAAAGTTTGGATTGACTGAATAACTTGAATTCATAAGTTAATTTAGACTGTTCTTTAGTTAATTACTGTTTAATAGTTAATTTTTATTATGGGTAGAAAGCAGCATAAGAACGATTGAAATGGATAAATAATCAATGTTTTGTTGACACATATAGAGGATTTGCACTGTTAAGGAATTCTACTCTAGGACAAAATGGATGCCCAATACCTTTTGATTTTCAATATTTAGCTAATTAAATCAGTTTGTAGAGTAAAATTGCAGAATATATTCAGAAAATCATCTTTCGAATATTCATTAATAATATGAAAGTGGATCATAAATGTTTTACTTCTGAATACAATCAAGTCACCGGGATATTTTCTGGAGAAGAATGATCTAAGATTTTCCAACAAAAAAATCCTTTAATAAAATATGACTTGATTTGAAAAAAATGAATTAACCCCATTTTAGATATGACTAACATCTAAAATGATTTCGAGACATTCAACAGGATATAAACTTTGGACTAGCTGACTATTTTTTTAGAGGAATAATCGGCAGTGTTTATCTTGTAATATAATGAAATAAATATTTGCATCTTCAATCCTGAATAGATTATCAAAGATAGAACTGTCTTTGGACTTCAGTATCACTTCACTTCAGTTGGTCTAAACTCTAGATTAGGATATGTAATGATGACTTTGAGGTATTTTTTCTTAATATTACCACTATTCGTTGAAGGTTTTAATGGAAATGTTAGTTTATATGTGTAAGGTGAATGGGTGATTAATCAAACACTTAGATTTATTAATTTGGTCATTCTAGTCTTAGATAGGACTTTGTATTTAATATCACCTGACGTTCAGTTATAGTTGTACAAAGTTGAATATTTTCATATACAACTACGAGCGTTTGATATTAGGAAATCTATGTGGAATGTAAGGTTCGTTGCAATTAGCTTATTGACCCTTTGAATTAACGCATCACATCAGTAAGGTATGAAGTAATTAACATTTTTCCAACAGTGATAATTATTAATCGAGATACCTTTAGGTTACAGTTAATGCCAAACGTAGTAAAGATAAGCAAAGATAGGTGGCGATTTGCAGTGGAACACAGAACGCGCGTTTCGTCCCATTTGCAGCTCGTTAGCTGGATGCACCTGCATCCCAACTTTGATGTTCACTCCGGGACTCAAATCCAGCACCGTTTATTCCAAACGCCATCGTGTTGTCTACTTAGCTACTGAGTCCTGATAGTTGTTAGCTTGTGCAATGTGGTGAAGTTTAAATTCATTTTGTATTGTTTGCTTGAATTTTCCCACTGCAAAAGCAAGTGGCTATCAGAACTCAGTAGCTAAATGGATAACGTGGTGGCGTTTGAAGCTAACGATATTGGGTTTGAATCCAGGAGTAAACATCAACTCTGGGGTTCAGATACATCCAACTCACGAGTCCCAAATAGGACGAAACGTGCGTCCAGAATTCTACTGATAGCCACCATTCATCTTTGCTTATAATGCTTGTGATTTAAGGCAATATCGAGGCAATCCGCACAGGATGCAAATATACCGACAAGAGACTGATCAATTGCAGTCCTAAACACCAATGTGAAGCTTCAAGTAAACAATACATTGTAAAGATAGCCAAAATTTCTAGCGAAATACTCCTTGCTTAAAGTGCTAAAGTTCACTCATGGAAATCGAAAGAGCAACATCAAGTTATTTTACTGTCCATGATTCTCCTTTCTGTCACAATCAAAAACATGAATAAGGCGACTTTTGTTGTGGAAGAGGCTACCGAGGCACATTAGAAGATATTAGTCGTCGTTACATTAGACTTTCGTAAATATTTTGTTTAGTATCAACAATAAACTTTTATTTGTCACATAACATTCAGAGAAAATAAATCCTAATAAAAGTCTTTTTATTTGTTCTCTTTTCAAGTTTAATACAAAACTGGAAGAGAGTCGTTTGTCGTATGAACGTCAGCTAGTTACAGAAGTTAAGGAAGCTGAAACACGCGGTTATGAAAAATGTTTATTAATTAAAAGTGATGAGATTACAGCTTTACAAAAAACTATTAAAGAAACCAAGGAATTAAATTCAAATGATGAAGTAAACTGGTTTTTACATGATAAATTTAAAATATAGAAACATGTGTTTAGTACTTTTAAATAGTTAACAAAAGTTTATTCATGTTTTCTAGGATTTCATCAAATTCACATTCATAATCAATATTTATTAAATGTCATGATGAGACTATAATTTGTGGACGATCATTTAGCGACACTGAAAAGATCTTGAGAATATTCACCTTTACGCTACGACTAAATGAAGGTTATAAACTAGTGTGAAGAATTTGAATTATGATTTACGGTTGATAATTAGGATTAGGAATTAGATTTAGGATTTTCATCACGAACTAACATCAACTATGATGCTAAAACTCTATTTATTTAGCCAAATGAATGAATTAATTTTGCTCCAAAATTCAAGACCTGTTATCGTGAATCTGATTGGTTTGTTCATATATTATAGTCTCGCCGATTTCAATCACTACTGACTTGTTTAACAAATCATTTTGTTGACTAAACTATAGTGCTTTAAACTTGTTGGTTAAAGTTTTCAATTCAGTTATTTCTAATTGGAAAGTCGTAGGGCTGTACGAGTAATAAGTGTTAGTCTTTCATAGTGTATGATATATATAAGGAGTTATCAAAGGACTACTTGTATTTTGGTATCGAACTATTGTTATAAAACTGTTAACTAGTGAATATCTGGAAATTATTAGTTCATATTTTTTTAATAGAATTTCGCAAATGAATTTATTTAGTTTAGTCTAGGTTTTGGAACATTGATTAAGATAGGAACAAAAAATTATAAAGCTAATTACACCATGAAATAAATAAACAGAGGCTAATGAAATATATGGATAAGTTAAGCCTTGTAGGTTAATTAATGAAATTATAATCAGGAAAAGAGTAAAAAATGATTTGATCAAATGAAAGCAATGGATTAAAAAGGACTCATCCAAATAGAGGTAATGTAGGTAGGGTAACAGAGGACTGATTACCAAAAATATTTTAAACTACAGAAATTGGATTTCAAGCGCTTAACAGTTACAACTTCAGAAGACTTGAGAATACTAGCGATGGGTTGTTTATAAGTCACCTTTTAGGATTTCAAGGTACCTTTCTAATGATTTATGTTAATCAATCATCAACAAATTGCAGTAATGGGGGTCTCAGCATTCCCTAAGCACAAGCTTTCTGGAAAGTATTCAAGCACTATAAATTGGCCCCCGTTTTTCTGTTACATCAATGTAATTGCCTTGACAAAAATGAGTAAATTTGTACTACCTGTTAGTCGTGAAAGTGAATATTATTCTTGTGTTGGTACTTACCAATCGCACATATCGTGGGAGGATATCTCTTCTAGATGAATATGGAAAAGAAGTCGTGCTAGTAGTGGTCTTGTTGACTTGAGAGTGTTCACAGAACTCAAACGATGACTGATATACATCTATCTCTCTCGGTGTTTCGTGAATAGCTATGTCTGCATCAACTATGCAATTCTCAGACCTTATCACTTACAATGGAATTCTACAGATTAGGTTGAGATTCACTATCCTTCGAATTAAATGTTTCGAACCCTTTCTGGATATAGAATAACAGGACTGCAATAGATTCTAATTATCTATGGGAAACATTCCAACTACAGTAAATAATTTGACGTCGGCTGTGAATGTTTAGTCTTCCGTTTTAAAACTAACCAGCGTGGGGTGGTTTGGGTTAAAAAACAATCTGGTTTAGTTAATAAATCCTTATTGGATAAACAGGAAAAACAACCCTGGGCACTGTATCAAGTCAGTTATTATGGTTACTTGTCAATCAACAATCATCTTAATAAACATGTTGTTCAACACAAGATGACCAATTTGATCGCATTATAGGTTCTGGCTGATGAAGTTTATAGCTTTCTGTTGATTTTACCTGCAACATTATTATTTTTTCAAAAAAAAACAATGATTGTTTTGTTTACTTAAATGTAGAGTTTCTTGTGAAAAAAATAGTTTGATTGACTATTTCTTAATAACTAAAGAAATTATTTATAAACCATAAACATATTTTTAATAATATACTAATATAAGGGTGTCGTAACTTTAAGCCCACCTAATTCACACGTGATTTATTCGCTAATCAAAATACGACTTATTCAATCTCAGTATTGTATGAGTAGTCTAGTATCCTTAATCTTCCTTTGTTCGTCTAATCCATCCAGTTGAGTCCAGAACTCCAATAACAGCTTCCACTATGTGAATCATTTATTTCAACATACAAACAGCATCACACTGTGAACTAGAAAATAATATTTATACAAGATCAAACCAAAATGTGGCTGTGAACGTAGGAGACTGTAATCAATAAACTGAACATAACTTAAGAACAGTAAATCGTATAATAATCTATAGGTCAAAATGAAGCTTATAATAAGAGGAATATAGATATACACAATATAGTTACTGAATAGTTATACAATAAGAATATATATACGTATAATATTAGTCCATTAATAGTTCCCAGAAGTTACCCGTAATTTAATCATCATTAGGATACAGAAAGATAATTTCAATAATTGAGATCATGAGTCGATTGAAGCTAGACCATCATAGGAAACCTTGAATCACTGGATGACCGATTCATTCTATTTTGGGATACTTCAACAGTGCACATCCATGATTCCGTCCCGCGAGATTCGAACCCAGGTTTTATTGATCTCGTACACAAACACTTAATCTCTAGACCACTGAGCTAGCCTGCATCCAACGGTGTTAATGTCTAACTTCAACTAATTCACAAAATTGTGTGACACATCCACCACTGTCTTTAGTGAGCTACTATCACATAACAGATTCGAACTAGTGCTTCTAAGTCTGGCTTCAATTATTGAAATTAATTATAATATTCAATAAATAATTTAATTTCTTATTTTAATTTATTTAGATTAAATATCAAGAAATAATTAGTCAATTAAAATGTGAAATAACTAAATTAAATAAAATTATTGAAAAATTAAAAAATATCTATGAATTAAAAGAGAATAATTTTTTAACAATCATAACAAAATTACAAAAAAAACAATTAAATGATACATTGAATAAAACAAATTCTATTCAAACATATTTTACAAATGAATTCAATGAAAAATTATTAAATTCTATTATACAATGGAAAAAACAACAATTAAATGAAATTATATTATTAATTAAACAAAAAGAATTTAATCAGTTAGAAATAATATTTAAAGAAAAAGAAAATATTATACGTAATGAATTATTATTAAAAATTGAAAATGTAAGTTATATATTATTCATTACATAAATTAGTAGTATTTTAATAAAACAAAAGAATTTTCCTATATACATACGATTGTACAGCTTGATAGTAAATTCATTGAAAAAAGATTCCTTTGTATTCAAATCTTTGAAAAAAAAAGCCGAAGCTCTTACCATCCATGAGCTCAAGCTAGAACTATGCAAATAAAAGAAGTACGTCCTATTGTTATTGTTACCATGGTCTTAATTAATATTGTTGTTATTATTATTACTGCATTCCCCCCTTCTACTTATGCTTCATATTCTCGTTGTTTTATTCATAAGTAGTTATTATATCAGAAGGGGTTTTGCGCAGATTGTAGTCATTTCAATAGTAGACATCATGCATCAAATGGTCGTCCAGTGCTTCCAGGTTTTCTATGGTGATCTAGCTTCAATGGATTCGTGATCTTAACTATTGAAATTACTATAATATCCACAGAACCCCTTCTGATATTAATCAGCATATGCTCACTAGTAACTGGCTTCAAGGTGGAGTTCAATCAAGTTTGTTGTGAGATGGTAACTCACTGAAGATAATGGTGGATGTGACGCTCAAATTCCTGGATTAGTTAAAGTTGGACAATAACACCGTTGGATGCTGGCTCAGTGGTCTGGTGGTGAAGCGCTCTTTCGCGAAACTGATAGGTCTTGGTTACGAATCCCGCGGGGCGGGATCGTGGATGCGCACTGCTGAGGAGCCTCAATATAGGACGAAACGGTCATCCAGTGATTCCAGGTTTTCTATGATGGTCTAGCTTCAATTGATTCATGATCTCAACTATTGAACTTATCATATCACTTTATTTATTTATTTATACCTCTATGACCTTTAATTAGTGTAGCAAAAACATTTTAGTCATCTTACTACATTCACGTTATTGATTTATCAAGCCTATTGTTATTATTCGTATTACATAACCTGGTTTTATAATCTTTCTATTACATCATCTTGGTTATTCGTGTTCATACTTCCTCATGGAACTAGTACTTTAACAAACAGGTTTTCAGATATATACGATTGTACAGATTGATAATAAATTCGTTGAAAAGAGATCCATTCGTATCCAACTCCTATTAATTTAATAGTTATTATATAAGTGAAAATTACATTTGATCTAATCTCAGCAACTGAAAGTTAAGTTCAATGTTTCGTCCAGCTTGTTTGAACTTCTTCAGGGTAATAGTCAAATTATTCTTTATAATATTGACGAACATTCGTTTATATCAGTTCAATATATATATATATATATATATATATATATATATATATATATATATATATATATATATATATATATATATATATATATATATATATATAAAGTATCGGTGAGACCATAACTCATGGACGACCTTTGAGCAACGCTAAAGTGACCTAATAACTAGGACTGTATCAACCAAAAGTTTGCAAAATATGATATTGTTTATCAATCAGATATTTTATGTTTATGATCTATTGTTTGGCTTAGTGGAAAAAGTATAATTGTAATAATGCCAATACATAGTTTCTTTAAACCAGTTATGCTAAGTAGAATGAATTTCTACAAATACAGCCTATTGAAATATATGAATTCTTATGTGTAATATGCGTACATTTATGTAGTGAACATAAATGAAGACAATCAGATGTATTTGAACACAAAATTACAGAATATCTTAGTAAAATCTGAAAACCATACACTACATACTTCATTTGCAAAGTATCAATCAATTGTTTCAACTTGACTGTTACTTTTTTTCCACACCAAGCACTCTGTCTTCTCGTTCTCTTCGATCTTTTTAAACTTATGCTGCTAGGTATTTCATTTTCGATTGATGACACATTACTTATATCTGTCGACATAAGTAGCACATACCAAATTAGAACTAACATTTATTTACCAAACATTTTTCTAATCTACATGTTGATAGATTTATTAGATATACACCTTAACTAATAATTACTTAAATCATAAAAAAAATATTTATTGTTGATTCGTAAATTGTTATTTACGGTTTGGTAGATGTGATTATTGAGATTGAATAAAGGTTAATTTCCTTTAAACTCAAATCCTATCACAACCAGTGTTTTCTTTCCTTTCAACGGACCATCCGTTTTTATATAAAAATAATAAGAAAATAACTAAACAAATTAAAAATTTCAATAGTTGGGATCATGAATCAATTGAAGCTAGACCACCATAGAAAACCTGGAAGCACTGAACGACCGTTTCCATGATGATCTAGTTTCAACTAACTCATGATGTCAACTATTATAATTACTGTAATATCCACAAAAACCATTTTTGATAGATTATATAATTATAGTTGAATTTTTCATTGTTCAATAAAATTGTATACTTTTTAAAATGAAATTTTCAGATTCAAAATGAAAAAAATCAAATTATTGAAACATTGACTAATGCATTAAATTTATCAAAATTAGATATTGTAAAACTTGAAACTGAACTTAAAGAAGCTAGACGTATAGCAATGACAGAAGTGGAATTAAGACGTGAACAATTATCAGAAATAAGTTTAGCACGTGAATTAGAACGTAAAGAATTAATTAGTAAACATGAAAATCATTTAAATGAGGAACAGTGTAAGAATCAAGAAACGATTTTGAGATTACAAGAACAACATGCTGAAGAATTAAAAACAATATCTTCTCAGGTATGTAATGTAATGGTATGGATTAAGTAGTTATATATGTATTATTATATATTTTATACTTTCATTGGAAACAGGGATAAAATGATATAGAACATTATAATGTGAAATATTCACGAATGATATAAATGAATACTGAAAAAGAACAAGTTTAGTTTAACATTCAGGATGAGGAATGAAAATATCACTGTCATTTTATGAAGTTATGACTGTAAGAATAATTTTAATGGATTTATATCTATCAATCTGGATAGGTTTACGCTTAGGTTTCAATTGTTGTAATCTCCATTATGGAAATAGAAATGCTAAATATGCTATGTTATCCTTAAGAATTTTCTTTAAAATAGTTTACCTCTTGAAATGATCTAAAAAATATATCAAAAAAGAAAGGAAAGTGTATATTTTTTATTTTTATGTATTTTATTTGTGAAACCTGGCCTTTGCGAGTTGAGGATGTTAGACGACTCTCTGTGTTTGATTATCGTTGTCTTCGAAGGATTGCAGACATCCAATGGTAAAACCATGTTAGTTATGCAGAGGTTCGGCATCGTGTGTTCGAGCGCAGAGACGATAATTCAATTGTTGTCACTATCTTGAAACATCGACTTCGATGGCTTGAACATGTTTTGTGAATGTCGTCCTAGAGAATTCCTCGTCGTGCAATATTTGCCGACACTGGGACTGGTTGGAAAAAGCGGAGAGGTGGTTAGTGTATAACATGGTGTTGTGGTATAAAATAAAGCTGCACAGGGCTTGCCCCTGTTGGTCCTTCTCGACTCCCTGGCTGGGGTCCTAGAGATGATGCAACATAGTGGTTAGAGAATAGAAGCCAGCGGCAATCCTGCCGTAACCTTCTTTTAATTTCTTCATAAAAAGTGACCGTAACTTCTTTAACTGAAAGAATTCTTTCCGGTTGTACCTTTCTGTTTCCTCCATAATTATTATTATTTCATTATCATACAATAAGTTGTGGTCATTATTGTTCTTTTTTCTTTTTACACGCACCTTACATTCTTTATCTCTTTCCATTCTCATTATTAACGTGTGGTGCATATATATCTGGTGTCCTCTTGTACCAATATTTATGTGTTCAAATAAAATAATAAAATAAATTTTTTACTCCATATGAAGCTTTCATTTCACAAATTTTTTATCAGAAAGTTTTGATTAAGCATTAGTCTAACTATTATAAATTGGTTAAACTCTGTTAATGTTTATGAAACTCTTTTTTCTCCCTTTTAATGAAGGCTAATGAAAAATTGTTAGGAATAGAAAAAGAATATAAAACTCGCTTAACGGAAGCAAATGAAGTATGTACATATGTTAGTTTTCTGACATATATTGTTCTTCTCATTGTACATCTATAAATATTAGGTTTTAGAGTCTTTATGTTCTGCAGCAATTCAGAAGACTCTCCCGGTCTCCCACATTGAACGAACATTCCACGTACCTAAATAAATGGTTTCCCTGGTTATCAGAAAGGGGCGTCGGCCTCGTGACTTCCGAAGGAACTCGGCTTCCACCATGAGGCGTCGTAACTCTTCCAAATGTAGACCTTCTGACTCCCAGGGCAGAGTTTAAATGGTTTGAATAATTCTTTCTGGTTAGCGTTGTTTTAGCGAGTTATTTTTCTACGGGATGGGGTCACTAACACCACGCCCAACCCTCCTCCTTTATCCGAGCTTGGGGCCGGCAGTAGCCCAAAAAAGGCTCCATGTGGAGTTGGGTCTTTATGTAGGTTTTTGTAAAACACGTGTAAGACATTATTACGAATTGTTGTACTTGTAATTTAGGGAAATAAACCGATAGTCAAAAGGTATTTGTGAAGAATGAACATAAATCAAATACCTAGGAATATTTTCTACGTTAATAGTAACTATATTCGTAATTTTCATAGTGTCTTATAGGAATCATTTACCAGAGGCAACCTGGATCCCTTAACTAATGGATATTTAAGTTTAGCAGTCCGAAGTCGACCATTGAAATGCCCAAATTAACTATAGTGTATAAGTGCTCAAGATCTTTTCTATTCTAGATATGTTATGACATCAATTTTTGTTGCAGCCGAATTATTAATCACTTTTTTATACTGACCTTATTCTTAACTGTACTATTTAGATGGAATATTTTAACTATAAATAGTGGCTTAAATCACCTAATATAATGTGAACATTCAATTATCCTGTTTTCTTAAATCTATTCGGTTGGGATCCAAGAAATAATTCGGTTATTACTAATGATACTTTTAGTTTCACATTAACTCAGAGTATTTCATAAAAACAATCTTCAAACTAACCCCACTCAACCTAGTTTGATTTAGGTTGAGTGAATAGTTTTATTATAATCATACTCATTATCATAATCAAATACCTGGTGAATGAGTCAATTATAACTATATATTTGACAATTGACTGATGATAATTTTTTAATGATATCTCTTTTATAAAGCGACTGAATGAAAGTCAAGAGAAAATAATTAATTTAGACATGATATTACAGAAAGCTTTACAGGAAAAGAGAAACACACAAGAAACATTATCTGAATCATTTCAAAGTGAAATTGAACAAATGAAGAATAAGCAAAAGCAAGAAGTATTGGTAGGTATTTATTATTAATATATAAACAGTACATACATAAACAGTACTATGCATATTGTTATGTAATGAATTCTATAAGTTTATCTTTTTAAAATACAATAGGTAAAACATTAGTACTAACATTCCTTTATGATTCAAGAGTAATAAATGTTTTCTCAGTTGATGAAAGACTTTGAAACAAAATATTACAGCATGATTTACATAAAATTCAGCTGAAAAGTAATAATTTCCAACGACTTTTCTGTTCTTTATATATATACAGTTCTGTTTATAATTACGCTTAATGAAGATGTTTATTATTGACTAATATTATCGGTGTAATGTTTGGAAATATGAATAAAATGTTACTTTATGAAGCAGGAAATAACGAGTATTTTTTAGATTCGACAAGGTGAGAACTGTGAAATTCTCAGAATTAAATGTATAGTTGATAACATACAAATAAAATGGTATATATATCTAAGCTTACATTTCAAACTATAGAATAATGTATTAGTTATACTTTTAGTTTTTACCGAGTTTTTTGAATAAAGGTAGGGGAGATTCAAAGCTTAGCAGAAAAATTCTCACGATGTTGCGTTTTCTGGGCTGGACAGTTTAACCATGAAGTTCTCTTCATTTTAAAAATACGTTCCCAGAGTAAATTCAAAGAGAAATTGGCTTTTGAAATTACCCCTGACGCCAATAAACAGCTTGTTATGCCAACATCGAAATTTCAGTGGTCGCTGGCAATACTTGTACAGTCATTGTCTATAAATTCTTTTTTATGGCATTTTCCACTATCTGACTGATGAATATGTAGTCATTAATCTATTTTCTCATTAGTCAATAAACTGGATATATTTCGATATACTTATCGACTACTGAGTGATCGAACTGTCAAGCTTTTAGAAATTCTTTGGTCAATTTAAGTGTTGCTCCTGATGAAGATTTCATAATTTCTCAGTCTAATTAATGTTCACATCTCTTGATGTAGGTGAGGATGTTTCGTGATATTTAGGCAAAACAAAACGTTGAAATTTTGGGAGGATGCAACATATAGATAATTTTGCTTTGGGGTTCTAGTTGGTGATTTTGCCTAGAAAGACGAGGAAATCTCGGTGATTAGACCACTCGGCTTTATGATCGAAAACTTACAACGAAATTCCTTAACAGCCGATACCGATTTAATAACAGGAAACTGTGAAGCATTACCGGGACCATGGAGTTGTTTTACATGCAGACTCGAACGTGGAACTTGTGCTGTACCAAAATGTTTGTTTAATAAATACCTTTGATCAGACCTATGATATGAAGTGCGATCAATCGACTGGCGCAACTCAATCTGAACATTACACATAGTATTTCATACTTTACATCGCGAACTGATCCTAGATAATAAGTGAAAACCAGGAAGTAGCGGATATCTGTTTCTTCCTCCCATGGAAGCACATCAGGGATCAGACCTAAGACTTTCAAATTATTACTTGGTTGAAACCCGACGTGTAGGCCAATGGATGACAGACCAGTAGTCTAACGGCTGAATTCTTTCATCGAGACCTGGAATTCATGGGTCCAATCCCCGCTATGGTTGTGGGCGAGCGCTCCAGAGGAATCGCACACTATGGCGAAATAGCTGCCCAGTGCTTCCTAGTTTTCGATACTCATCTAATAAGGCAATTCAGTGATGTAAACCATGGAAGCCAACAATCTCCACAATACCTTGTTATAAGAACTACACAGTATCCCAGTCTCATTTAACTCGCTGTTGGTTTAGCCAATCAGAAAGCGAATGAGTAATGGGTTTGAAAATGCAGCGAAAACAGGAATGTTTCTACCCCCGTAAAAGGAGTACGGTGATTTCTAAACACTATACCATTCTCCATATGATTCCGGATTTAAATAATGATTTTAAACAATATCCTTATCATAGTTGTGTTAAGTTTATGTGCAAGACCCTGTATATAACAACCTGATATATTAATTACTTGCTCCTCTTCTGTAGATCTTGAAGGAGGCTATATCAAAAGAGCGCAATAGAGCACGTTTAGCAGAGATTTCTCTTCGTCAGCAAGAAAAGGCGTGGAACGATATGAAGACTCGCTGGCATGAAGAACGTATAGCACAATTAGGAAATTCATTACCGATTGAATCCCGTACTCATATGGAGGCAACTATTGAGGCATTGCGTCTTCAGGTTAGTTATATGTAGTTTAATTTAGACTCTTTGACCCATTAGTTAATATCAGAAAACTTCGAAGACCGTCCATGCCAAATGTATATATTGATGTAGGCTTTTCGACGAAAATAAGATCTTCAGTGAAACAGAAGGTACTAGTCTGTTCGAACTGTTATTTGTGGAACAATAACAAATAACATACCTTGGGACTAATTTTTTTGGAATGGATTTTAAGGGTGTTTGTTTGTCCCATCATGTAACATAATGCTGATTAGTATATTTCCTATTATTTTTTGTAACGTAATCGGATTTAATAAATCACAAAGAGACATAGTTGGTTATAATATAGGAAAGCGCATTTACATTTTTACTAAATTAAAAATAAATATAGAGAACGGGAATGAAGTTGATAATACCTTTGGCAGATGTGGTCAAATAAAGTCTCATACTGCTTGATGGCGATGTCAGCCGGTTCAGCATCAATAATTACAATTAATTCTTTTTAGATAACCATTTATTTATGGCGAACACCTTTCTACAGGTAGATTTTTCCTGGTATTTACCGTCTCGGATACTTACGTACAGATCCTGAGACAGATTCAAAGAGTACAAATAATGTTATAGTAGGTAGGCAAGCTAATGAAGGGGAATGTTTCGAAGGCTTGTACGAGAACCCTAAGGATAATCGTTTTCTCCGTCAAAAACGAAGCAACTGAATGCATTAACTACTTCACTTCTTGCTGCATCGGAATCGATAAACTGGTGGTTCGACCAGTTGCTGACTACTTGAAGGATATTTGTCTTTAAGCGTCTTCCTGTCAACTTTATATAATAGTGTTCCTCGAAAAGACACACTGGGACTAATCAGTTATTTCTGCTTTTCAATAAACAAGGTTAATCTACTGAAAAAGCGAATAACCGTAATAGAAGAAGATCGGGAGACAAACATCACTTACCCACTAAAGTTACAATTCAGTGACCAAGACGTATCATTACTCAGTGAAGACTCAGTACAAAATGAATCTCCAGTAAAAGATCAACCTGAAGCAAACCAAGACAATTTCGAAAAATGTAAAGTGAACAACAATTCAGTTCCTTTAGGAGATAACTCACGACGGAGAATTGCGACTGAGTGTACAAATTTACAGACTAATCTAGACGCATATCCTTACAAAGCTACTTGTTCGGGAGATTGGCTATTGAGCGGACACTGACAGACTATCATGCTCTAGGTTTTACAAGTTATTATTTATGCTTTTAAAACAACAATTGTGTAGCAGATTTGTCTGAGAAATATTTTAAAATCAACTTGGCTATACATCTTGTATATTAAAAAAAACGTGTACTAAATGATATAATATAAAGTGTATTCCAATTTTATACTCTTTGTTTCATTGCAAAAATAAGTGCGAAAGGGTAATGGACATCACAATCGGAACTAGGTAAATAATAATACACCACAAAGTATTTCTTTACGAATTTGACGACTTTTTTCGTTTTTTGTTCAATTTTTTGTGCTTTAATACTTATTTACATTTGAAATAGCCGCAGCCAGACGGGGTGTTTGAAAAGGGACATTATGGAAATCACCCATCTCTGAAGAACCATTATTAACAAACTTGGCCTCGTTTTTATTGGAATCACGAACAGTATCACGTTTTTTCGAATAGTACGGGATAAGCGACGACGACTAGGTGGATGATCTAAATTTGATTTAGATGTATTCCCTTTGTTCATAAAGTCTGAAAAACTGTTACCCCCGAAATCAACAGGCAGTTGACAATCTTCTCCTGGGAATTGAGATTTAGAAAATAGGATAGCAATCCCCGGTTCTTCCTAGATAGAAACACATAAACGACAAGTTAGTAATGAATTTAACTTCAAATAACCAAATTATTGGATATAACACTTACAGACGAGAAAAAGCATCAAACCATATTTTTTGATGTATTAAGATCTAATCACTGAGTTCACCATACCCACATATAATTGTGATGGAAAATAGAGGTTATATTTTCATAACATATCCTAACAGAAAGACTAGTTGGGCTATAGCACAATGTTTTACATAATAGTTTCGCGAAAGATTTTAGATGGCTTTTAAATGTAGGCTCACTGTAACTGGGGACACATAAAGTTAAGATAACTTTGGACGGCATGTTTATCTAGTTATTGAAATAAGTATTAGACTTGCTAATGAAAGTTGATATCTTAAAAAATCTTGTCCACCAACTTCCAAACCTTCAAATATATACGTCCCAACGATGACTACGACAAAAATTTCTGAAGGGATTGATGATATCTCCTTCTAATTCCATTGAGGATATTATGGAGGTGAAATATTTTGTCTCATACATTTACGTTTGGCAATAGGAATGAAGATTTACCAACTAACCTATATATGTAGCGACCATGAAAAATGGAAACATAAATTAGGAAAGCACATGGGAACAATGAAGCCAATCAGTCAGCTACAACGTAGCACCAGGCACATATATGCATCGGTCCAAGTTGCCACACCTCATTAGCACAACAAAGTGAGTACCAAATTTATAGAAGCAGTTACTTCAATGGTAGTAATATATAAAAGAAAGATAAAGACATAATATAATATAGAGAAAGATATAAAGTAACTTCAAGGACTGATGCCACGTTTGGGTTTGGCCTCCCCTTTATTTTATTTATTTGAACACAAATATTGGTACAAAGGGGCACCGAATACATATTTATTTATTTTATTTATTTGAACACATAAATATTGGTACAAGGGAGCGCCAATATATATGCGCCACACAAAACAATGAAAATTCGAAGAGAAATAGAAAGAGAAAAAAAAACAACTAGGGAACGCAAAAGAAAAAGAGAACAATGACGAAGAGATTGGAGTAAGGTAGTGTGGTAGTAACGACGGAACGAAAAGGTACAATCAGAAGAAATCTTTCAGGTAAAGGAGACACAAACCACTTTTTATGAAGAAAGTAAAAGAAGGTTACAGCAGGATCGCCACTGGCTTCTATTCTGAGCCATATCTGATAACGTCTCTAGCCACTGTGTAGCACCATCTCTCAGACCCCAACCAGGGAGTCGTGAAGGACCAACACAAGCTAGTCCTTTGCAGCTTTCTTTCATGCCACGACACCATGTCATGCACTGACCACCTCTCCGCCTCTTCCAACCAGTCCCAGAGTCGGCAAATAATGCACGACGTGGAATTCTCTGGGACGACATTCGGAGAACATGTCCAAGCCACCGAAGTCGGTGTTTCAAGATGGTGACACCAATTGAGTTATCATCTCTGTGCCCGAACACACGATGCCGAACCTCTGCATTACTGACATGGTGTTGCCACTGAATGTCAGCAATCCTTCGGAGACAGACCGAATACATATGCGCCACAAAAATAACTTGATTTGTATGTGAGCCAAAAGTAAAATAAAATTGAATACTTTTTAAAACATTGGGATGGAACCGGATAAAAAGTTGTGAGGTAATAGGCTTTCATGTTAAGCTATATCCAAAGTAGCTGCTAACTTATCTTGATGGTTGAACTTGGGTATAACAATGACCCAACCGAGCTACATAGACCGGAATACTCGATACTTTAGATCCTACTATACCAGGTAGGTCAGTTGGGGAACGATAAGACTAAGAGGACCAGTAAAGATGGACTGAACAAAAACAAGGTGATATCTAGTGCTGTTAAAGTATGAGGGTGTTTGTTATTTCTCGGTTGCTCATACGTGGAAGGATACTTCGTCTTGAGGTACCTCGAAAGGAGATTTGGATGGGCTAGGTCTTGATGACTTAGGGATGTGACCGCAGAGCCCAAGCAGTTACTACTTGAGGTTGGTCACACACGGACTTTATGTGAGAAGTTTGAGACGTGCCAGCTATGTACCTACAAGGCCAAACCGTCAGCAGTGGAAATCCAAGGGATGCACTGTTCTATTTTTAGATACAAACAGCACTTCCGCAGATGGTGGTTATCTAGCAGAAGCACAAAACTGCTATCACGTCTCTGCACAGTTATAAGTACGACTTCACTCTCGGAATGAGTCCACTGCTTTTAGTCCTACCGTTCTCCAACTAATCTGTCTGGTATGTTAGGGCCTAAAGGATCATGTGTTCCAGTGCATATAACAGCTATTTTTGAGTACAATAGGTCTATTTATTCCAAAAGGTTTACCAGCAATATATGGACTGTAGTGTACACATTTGGTGTCATACTTTTTGAATGCGCAGTCTTTATTCGAAAAACAAGGTAAGTCACTTCCTAATTTCCTATTCAGTTAGACCTTCATACACATAGGTAAATTTGTCAGTTTAGATATTATGGAAGAGAAATTAAGTGTTAAAATCGCCAAAAGTAAAGTAAACAATTAGGGTCATTCGACGACAAGTGTCAGAAAGACAAATTGAAGTATTTGCGTGATACCTAATACTTATGATATAGATTACAATTAAGTTACTTTTTACAGATGTTGATAAAGGTTTATAAAGGTAAAACTAAGTTGTAGATAACCGACCTTACCAGGGTGCAACTTATTGTTGTATCAGGAACTGAGCAATTACATGATTGAATATGCAAGCGACTACATTGGTACATTTTTGGTGGGCTGGCACCATCTAATTGTGACGTCTGTGAGATTGTATTGAGCACAATGCTTTTGAACATCTCAGCACACGCAACAGTCTTCGCGACAGCGCCATGTTTGCTCCACCATATAATCTGTGCAAAAAGTAGCATAGTAAATTAATCACTAGGGCATCTTACTGAAACTGTAAATGCGATCTAGATTCTTAAATGCTATTATAACCATCAAGCTCTTAAAAGTAAAATAGCAGAAAATGGAATCAGAATAGTAGTTTCAGATCTCTTGAAACCTAATCCACTTTAATACTGATCATGATAGGCTTTCACCAAGCGCAATACATTTATGATTGACACAAAAATAGTAGGTAAAATCGTAGTGGAGCACTTTTTGCAATGACACTTGTTTTTTTACTAGAATTTATCAGGACAAGTATACATTTAACTGAAATATGTAACCAATGACCTCTTAAATATGATAGGCAAACATCAAGAAACTAATTTACCCAGGTGACAACCACACGTACCTAGAAAATATGAACTCATTATAAAACAATAAATCCAGGGGAGTAATCACTGTACAGTCATGTTCAATGTTTCTTACAATTAATATAACTCACTGGCTGAACCTAGCGCAGATAGAGTACTTCTTATGCTTCTTGATGTTATGAAAAAACTGCCATACAGTAGATTATAATCCAATTTGGTAGTCAAATACACCTTTTGTAAAGCTTTGATTGAACCATTTCTTCCCGAAACCTTGTTTTTGGGTCATGTAGACGCGTAAAACGAAAGCAACTATTTCAAACAACTGGAGCTACTTATTGTGCTTTAATGAATACAGGTGTAATCGTTTACCAGGCAATATTGAAATATATCAGTCAGTCAGTCAGTCAGCTACAACGTAGGACCAGGCACATATGTGCATCGGTCCAGGTTGCCATAACGCATCAGCACAACAAGATGAACACCGGATTCATAGCAGTGGTTAGGTCAAAGGTGGTAATATATAAGAGAAAGATTGCATATAGAGATATAATACAAGAAGAAAGAATTGGTTCGTAGAAAGAAAGATATGAAGCGATTTTAATCTCTTAGTTTAAGGGAAGACAGGGAGTGTATACACCGACGCCATTGTGATCGATTCTGAGCCATGTCACCAAGAGTCTCCAACCATTGGTTACGATAGTCACGCGGACCCCAACCAAGTAGTCTGCATCTACCAACATGGCTCAGACTACAAGTTAGTGACTTCAAGCACTGATGCCACGTTTTGGTTTGGCCGCCCCTAACTTTCTTCCAACCATCTCCAATACCGGATAGCATTGCACGTCGTGGTAATCGGTGTTCAGGCATACGTAACACGTGGCCCAACCATCTCAGTCGATGAAGATTCATAACCTCATCAACTGATTTACCATCATTCCCTAATACCCTGCGTCTAACCTCACTATTACTTACCCGGTGATCCCAGCAGATGCCAGCAATATTTCTAAGGCATCTGTGGTCAAATACTAGTAGCTTACGAGTGTCTTCTACTCTTAATGGCCATGTTTCGCTGCCGTAAATTAAAACAGAACGGACTGCCGCGCAGTATACTCGTCCTTTTATTGATAGACGGATATCTCGCCTTCGCCACAGGTGACGTAAGTTGGCAAAAGCCAAACGAGCTTTTCGAATCCGTGCTGAGATTTCGTCAGACACCAACCCATTAGGGCTGATCAGACTTCCAAGATAAGTGAAGTTGTCAACGCGTTCGACTACTTCACTCCCTATCCTTAGTTCAGGTGTTGACGCAGACCAGTCCTGAAGCAACAACTTGCATTTAGAGGGAGAGAAGCGCATTCCAAACATTCTGGCATTGTTGCTTAGTGCTACCAGAAGACTCTGCATTTTGTCAGCGTCTTCACCAAACAGGACTATGTCATCTGCGTATTCTAAGTCGATAAGTGGACCTCCTGGATGGAGATCAATACCCGAGAACTCAGTCGACGAGAAAGTTATTTCCATCAGTAGATCTATGATGAAGTTAAACAAAAATGGGGAAAGTGGACAGCCTTGACGGACACCACTTGAGGTTGCAAAAGTAGATGACAGTTCGCCATAAGCTCTGACTCGACTAGTAGTGTTCGAGTAAAGAGCCTTTACAAGGTTTATGTACTTCTGGGGTACGCCTTTCAATGACAGACACTGCCACAGAATCTCGCGGTCTACAGAGTCAAATGCTGCTTTTAAGTCGAGAAAGACCACCATTGTCGGACGCCGATAAGTATGCCTGTGTTCTAGAATCTGACGAATGGTGAATATGTGGTCGATGCAGCCACGACCAGGTCTAAAGCCAGCTTGGTTCTCTCGTGTTTGCAGTTCACGAGTCTTAGTTAGGCGTCTGATAATTATCGAGGCTAGTATTTTAGATATTATATTAGTTAAACTAATCCCTCTGTGGTTGTCACAGGATGATTTTGACCCTTTCTTATATATTGGGACGATAAGTGATTGTGACCAGTCAGATGGGATAACGTCTAACTCCCAGATCTTAGCTAAAATATTAGTCAACCTAATCGCTAAAATTGGACCACCATCCTTAAAGACCTCTGGAGCCAGTCCATCTGGACCAGCTGCCCTTCCTCGTTTCAGATTAACTATAGCCTTTTGAACTTCAGCAAGAGTTGGGGGACCTACTTCAATGTTCCATTCACGCTGTCTGGGAATGGAGGGTAGTTGTAGAGTAGCTGAAGGCCAGCTGAACTGTTCTCTGAAATGTTCCGCCCATCGTTCTAAACGTCTGGACTGGGAGCAGATGAGAGTATCGTCTTTTTCCGAAATAATCTCACTTACACTTGACTTATTAATTCCAGTTTCTTTTATTAGTCTGTAAAGCTGTCTTGTGTTCCCTATAGTCGCCGCCTTTTCCATCTCTTTTGCTTTCGTTGCCCACCACTGCTCACGGTCGTTTCTTAGACTTTTTCTTAACCTAGATCTGATTTGTTGTCGCTCTTCATCATGTTCGGAACCTGATGGGACGAGTTTGCGAGAATCCATCAGTGTGATAGACTTTGAAGAAATCCACTGGTTCTTTGTAACTCTGTGGTTTAAGTCGCTAATAGATGTCACTGCTGTTTCCACAGCTGCTTGTATGTCTTTCCAAGCAACATCTGGGTCAGCCTCGTCTTCAGAACTACCTAAGTGTGACCTCAGTTGTTCCTGGAACCTACTTTTGGTTTTCTCGTTACTCAACTCAGTTCTAATGGGTCTTTTTAATGTGGCTTTTTTGCGTCCAGTGAGGCGCAAGCAGATGCGTGCCCGTATTAGGGCATGGTCGGAGTCCAAGCAGGTACTCCAGAATGAGCGACAATCTTCTACCGACCCTCTCCAACGATGACTGATGGCAATATGGTCTATTTGAGTCCATCGTTGGTTTGGTGTAGGGGGTCGCCATGTTAGACGATGTCTCTCCTTATGCTTAAAATTTGTGTTTGCTAAAAATAAACGATTGTCTGAGCACAGTTGCAGCAGACGGTCACCATTATCTGTTCGCTGTGCCGGAATGCTAAAATATCCACCTAAATGCCTTTCTGTTTGGTTTAAACTACCTATCTGAGCATTAAAGTCACCCCTACGAGTACTATGTCTGAGCGTTTAGCTTTCTGAAGAAGTTCGGACAGCTTTCTGTAAAATTCATCTTTCACATCATCTGAGCTGCAGTCAGTGGGAGCGTAGGCAGAAACGACAAAAAGGCAACGACGTGTGTCCCTATCCTTCCGAGTTCTTACGGAGCCGTTTAGCCGAACAGCACATAGACGACTGTTGACGGGGATCCACTCTAGCAGTGCTTGTTCCGCCCTCATGCTTAGTGCTATGCCTACACCTGCCAGTCCACGAGAACTGGCCATCGGGTCACCAGATACACGAGGGTGTATCTCGTTGGCTCTCCGTTTTGCCGAGGTGAGGTCAAGTGAATGACCACACTGGAATCCTGTATGCGTGTTTCGGAGACACAGCATACATCAATGGAAAGAGACTCTAGGGTTTTAGCCAAGGAAGCCTGCTGACCGATTTGACATAGGGTGCGTACGTTGAAGGCTCCAATGTGTAGTTTGGAGCGAGGTTTCAGTAGACCTGGGACAGGTTTTGAGCACTAGAATCGTTGGCTATGGTGACACTTGAGGAGGAAGCCGAAGGAGGAAGTTTAGGGTTGAAAGTCGATGTAGGAGGAATAATAGGAATTGAAGAGGAAGGTTGATTATGAATACAGTGGTCTTGAGTGCTGTTAGAGGTATGAGGGCGGTTATCACTTCCCGGTTGCCCACACCGTGGAAGGGTTCTTCTGGAGGTACCTGAAAAGGAAATTGGATTAGAGGTGGTCTCAGTGACCTGAGAGCGTGACCGCAGTGCCCAAGGGACAACTGCTTGAGGCCGGTCGCGCACGGCCTTTTCGTGAGAGGTTTTGACGTGTTAGCTCCGTTCTTCAAAGGGCCTTACCGCCGGAGACGGAAATCCGTGAGGTAAGGTGAGGTGTGCATTTTTAGGGTCGACCTTTTCTAACCCCACCCCTCCTTGTGGGAAGGCAGCATCGCTGTCATGCTGGTTGTCTGAAGGAAACACCTTACTGCTGTCACACCTCTGTACAGTCAGCAGTACGACTTCGCCTTCGGACCTTGGGTTTGTTGCTTTTAGTCTTACCGCTCTTCAACCGACCTGTCTGACATGGTAGGACCTTGAGGAACGGTTGTTCCAGCCAGTATAGCTCGGTTGCTTCATCACGATAGGCAAGCCCGACCACCACGTCAAGGTAGCAACAACGGTTGGGATTGAAATATATAGGATGCTTACATGCAGTGGTCAAAACTACTAGCACAAGTCTTTCCATTTAACACAAATCTCAAAAACTATGAACGATTCTCGTTGAATACTCATATAAAGACGGCAGTGATTAATAGAATGTAGATGTAACTTAAGCTAGGATAGTTAATCCTAGTCTAGTTCTGGTAGGTAAACTGATGCACAGACTTTCAGCACGTGAACGGATTTATCAAGATTATAGTTCGTATATTCTCTTTAAAACATGATAGCAACAGAAAGATGTACATGTAAATACTTCTTTAAAATTCTTACCGCATCTGTCTCTCCACTTTGGAACTTTTCAACGGCGTATGGGACTAGGTTTGCTGATTTGCTGCCAGGCATTACATTCATGTTAATACATCCAGATACATCTGAACCAAATATGGACTTAATGTCGGGAATATTTGCATCGCCATGTAGCAGTTTCATTATTAGCGTAACAAAGCTTATACTGAAGTGAACGAGACTACCCAATTATGAAAGTAACTGAACCAGTCATTGACTTATTTTAAGATAACCAACTTTTTATGGAGTTGTAACGTCCAGCCTTTGGATGTTTTGCGTCTAGCCTGAAAGTATGTTATGTCATAAGTGAGTGTGAAAATCTAAGAAGAGAACGAGAGAAAAACTGAGCCAAGTCAGTAAGAATACAGAATGCACTTGCGTTTAACAATGAAGGCAATCGGTAACAAACAGGAATAAAACAGGAGTAAGAGTAAGACAATCTGATAGTCGATACTAAAATAACGTGTTTCCCGCTGCGTTAAAACGTAGCGGTTTGCGTTTAGTCAGAAGGTACGTCGTGTACTAATGGAGCATACAGAGAGCTGAACAAGATAACAAAAGAAAAAGTGAGCCGATGGTCCACTAGGCACATTATTAAGGAAAGCAATTGACAACAATAAACAGTAACACAAGCCTCAGATTAAGATAATTCTGAAATAGAAACTAGACGCAGATAGTTTAGTCCACTACATAGCTGCCCGTTATGGCAAAACACTGCCACAGTGGTTGTAATACCTTAATTGGGGAAAGAAACAAGTTCACATTACTTCATGGAGTTATGCATCCTAGCAGGTTCATGTTGTATGTAGCGATTTTCGTGTAAGGCATACAGACAAGCAAAAACAGCAAGTTCAGGTAAAGGATCCTTTATGTACACAGTAATTAAAACCTACAGTTAAGCAAATCAAATACGATCAGTACAGCACGAGTCCGGTTTAACGACCAGCTAACACTCAACAGGGCACTTAGTGGCCTCCATGCAGCAACTCCAACCCTTCTCTCCAAAATCCATCATATCTCTTCATTGAACCAAGTTTGTACCCAGACTTTTCACCTGTTTTCCACGCTTTTCTATACTTCATTTATACATCTAGTAATAAAAAAACGGGATTACATTTTTCATTACTAGTTAGCTTATTCTTTCACACTTTACAAATTTTCACTAGGTTGAGATGCATAATTAAATTCCACATTATTTTGGCAGATACTGACATTGGACCACTGATGCTGTTGGGTACGCAATTAGGACTTGTGAAACGAAGGATTAACACCTTACACCTGATGTTCAATATCATCCAGTTTGTGTGAAGGCTGGAATACTGCCCGGGTGCCCAAACAAAAGCAGGTAGTTTTTACGGCGTTACACCGGGAGTCTTTGACTTGAAAGTCTATTTTACAAGGCAGTGGAGCTACATAAGCAGTTGCAGTTTCATAATAGCCGGTGACCAACAACAGGTTCATACGTCATTTGTTTCCTTAGGATCATGGAGCCCATATGCACCATTGATTTGGAAGCAGAGTTTTGCAACTCCCGTAGGTGAACGTTCTGTGTCCACCAGACCGGTTAAAGCACCGGACATTCGTTTTCGTATTTTTATTTTCTTAAACACCACTACCGCGAGAACGTAGTGAATATGACTTACCTGCCGGAGGCTATATGCACGCGGCCACGTGAGAGCATTTCGAGAGGGAGAACTGTCTTTCTCCACTCTCGGCCGTACCAGAGCATTTGGGGCGAAATCTGGAAGCAACGGACAGCCGTTTCGTTCTGGTATGGGACTCCTCAACAGCGCGCATCCACGATCCCGCCCGCGAGATTCGAACACTGAACCTGAGGTCTCGCGCGCGAACGCTTAGCCTTTAGACCACTGAGCCGGAAAGGAAATCAAAGGGAAATTTTGGGAGACAAAGTGTTAGAGGTCATAGTGGGACCAGGTGGTATTAGTTGAAGGGATTCTGCGTTTAATTCGAACTCGCGCTGTACTGATCGTATTTGATGTGCCTAATTGTAACTTTTAATTACTGTGTACATGAGGGATCCTTTACTAGGACTTGCTGTTTTTACCTGTCTGTATGCCTTGTAGGAAAACCATCGCAACCTACATCGTCACATAGCGCGCCATTGGATCTATGTCAATACAATAGCATGAAACCTGTACAAAACCTATGATTTGTTTGCGCTTGCTTCCTATTGTTTCGATGTGTTTGATTTCCACGGATGTCGGATCCATAGAGAAACGCGTAGATATGACAAGATTATCTTGTTTGCAGTTTCCTTCTATTCCGTGTAGAACGTTTAACATTCGAGACCTTACAAATGTGCATTCGTTCATATCGTTTTCGATTTCAGAGAGCCCGGAAGGGTAGACTACCTGTCAGAAACAAGAAGAGGATGGTTCCAGGGAAAACAATAATCTCCGAACTTCTGTAGACTGCAGTGACGTTGCTTTTGTTTCATGAAATCTCTTTTGCCTGTTGAAAAGGTACAGATCTTCAATGGTTTCTTCTGAATCTTCAATGCAGAGCATATATTATTACATGTAGTTAACGTCGAGCTTACCGTTGTATAACTCATTAGAATGTACCACCGATGTCGCTTTTAGGACGATGTGTTTTGTTGGACACTTTGTCTTACTACTTAGTAGGGACCCGAAATGGATGCACATACACCAACAGAACCAAGTAGAAAAATTCAGTTGCGACCGTTCGCTCTTGAAAATATGGGACAAATAATGTTTTTTGTAGATCACTAACGTAGATGATCTGTGACAGTTGTTTGCGGGAATGGAGTGACCATTCATCTTTCGTAGTAATCGGGCCTCAAGGTCAATGCTCACCGTAGGCTACCCTTTAGTCGTATCCAAGTATCATGGCTTCGATGAAGGCCATACAACACAAACAACGTTATTGTGGAAACATATTATTAACAGAGGGTAATAGACAGAAATAGAGCGCTACCACTGACATATGGGTCACTTACTTACTTACTTACTACTTACGCCCGTTACTCCCAATGGAGCATAGGCCGCTGACCAACATTCTCCAACCCACTCTGTCCTGGGCCTTCTTTTCTAGTTCCATCCAATTCTTGTTCATTTTTCTCATGTCTATTTCCATTTCTCGGCGTAATGTGTTCTTTGGTCTTCCTCTTTTCCTTTGGCCTTCAGGATTCCATGTGAGGGATTGTCTTGTGACGCAGTTGGGTGCTTTCCCCAATGTGTGTCCTATCCACTTCCAGCGCTTCTTCCTGATTTCTTCCTCCGCTGGGATCTGGTTTGTTCTCTATCACAGTACGTTGTTGTTAATAGTGTCTGGCCAACGGATCTGAAGTATTTTGCGTAGACAACTGTTAATAAGCACTTGTATCTTCTGGATGATGGCTTTTGTAGTTCTCCAAATTTCCACCTCATACAGTAGAACTGTCTTGACATTTGTATTGAAAATCCTGACCTTAGTGTTGGGTGACAGTTGTTTTGAGTTTTAGATGTTCTTCAGTTGTAGATATGATGCTCTTGCCTTGCTGATCCTCACCTTCATACCTGCATCAGATCCATCGTGTTCATCAATGATGCTGCCCAGAAATGTAAAGGCCTTTACATCTTCCAAATCTTCTCCGTCAATTGTGATTGGATTGGTGCATGCTGTGTTGTATCGGAGAATCTTGCCTTTCCCTTTGTGTATATTGAGACCTACTGCTGCTGAGGCTGCTGCTTCACTGGTCGTCTTCTCCTGCATTTGTTGTTGCGTTTGGGATAGAAGGGCCAGATCATCTGCGAAGTCTAGATCGTCCAACTGCATCCTAGATGTCCATTGTATCCCGTGCTTCCCTTCAGATGTTGACGTCTTCATGATCCAGTCGATCACCAGGAGAAAGAGAAAGGGTGAGAGTAAGCAACCCTTCCTGACACCGGTCTCTACCTTGAACGAGTTTGTCAACTGTCCTCCATGCACAATTTTGCAGTTTAATCCATCATAGGAATTCTGTATGATATTGACTATCTTCTGAGGCACGCCGTAGTGTCGAAGAAGTTTCCATAGTGTTGTTCTGTCCACGCTATCAAATGCCTTTTCGTAGTCAATGAAGTTGATGTAGAGTGATGAATTCCATTCAATTGATTGTTCCACAATGATCCGTAGAGTTGCGATTTGGTCTGTACACGATCTATCCTTACGGAATCCTGCCTGTTGGTCACGAAGTTGGGCGTCTACGCAGTCCTTCATCCTGTTTAACAATACCCTGTTGAAGACTTTTCCCGGTATTGAGAGAAGAGTGATGCCCCTGTAGTTATCACAGTTGCTGAGATCGCCTTTCTTCGGTATTTTGATCAGAAGTCCTTCTTTCCAGTCTGTTGGTACTTGTTCCTCATCCCAAATCTTATTGAAGAGAATGTGGAGTATCCTTGCAGTTGCCGCTACGTCTGCTTTTAGTGCCTCTGCTGGAATGTTGTCCGGTCCTGCTGCTTTGCCACTCTTGATTTGTCTGATGGCCATGCTGATTTCTTCAATTGTTGGTGGGCCAACATTGATTGGGAGGTCCGTGGGTGCTGCTTCGATGTTGGGTGGGTTCAGTGGAGCTGGTCGATTCAAGAGTTCTTTGAAGTGTTCTACCCACCTGTTTTGTTGCTCTTCAATGTTGGTGATTACCTTGCCTTCCTTGCTTTTCACTGGTCGTTCTGGTTTGCGGCGATTTCCAGAGAGTTTCTTTGTCGTGTCATACAGTTGTCTCATGTTTCCTTCTCTTGCAGCCTTTTCCGCCGTCGTTGCTAAATCTTCCACATATTTACGTTTGTCGGTTCGGATGCTCCTCTTCACTTGTTTGTTTACTTCTGTGTATTCAGCTTGTGCCTTGGCTTTTTCTGCTCTTGTTCGACTGGTATTGATTGCTGCCTTCTTGTTCCTCTTTCTTGAATCTTATCCAGTGTATCAACAGTGATCCATTCCTTGTGATGGTGCTTCTTGTGACCCAGGACCTCATGACATGTTGAAGTGATTGCCTCTTTGATCCCCTTCCAGTTGCTCTCCACAGTAGTTCCTTCTCCATTGAGTAGATCATGAAAGGCCTGGAACTTGTTGCTGAGGACTATCTTGAATTTGTTGAGTTTGTTAGTATCCTGAAGAAAGGCCGTATTGAACTTTTGTGATATTGTCCGCCCCGTTGTCCAGTGCTTCTTGAGTTTCAATTTCATCTTGGCGACCAGCAAGTGATGATCTGATGCTATATCAGCTCCTCTCTTGGTTCTCACGTCCTCTATAGTCCTCCTGAACGTTTTGTTGATGCAAATATGGTCGATTTGGTTTTGTGTATAGTGATCCGGTGAAGTCCATGTGGTTTTGTGTATGCGTTTATGTGGGAATATGGTGCCGCCTATGACCAGCTTATTGAAGGCACATAGATTTGCAAATCTCTCACCATTTTCGTTCCTTTCTCCCAGTCCGTGTCGTCCCATGATGTCTTCATATCCAGTGTTGTCCGTTCCAACCTTGGCGTTGAAATCTCCCATCAGAATGTCAGGTCCTTTGTTGGGCACTTCTCGACGATTGACTGCAGCCTATTGTAGAATTGATCTTTAGCGTCTTCATTGTAGTCGTTGGTAGGCGCATAGCATTGGATGATGTTCATTGAAATGCCCTCTTTCTTTGTTTTGAACGAGGCTTTGATGATCCTTGGTCCATGAGATTCCCATCCTATAAGTGCATTTTGCGCTTGTTTGGACAGCATCAATGCAACTCCTTGTGTATGTGGTGCATTTTCTTCTTCATGGCCGGAGTATAACAGGAGCTCTCCTGTAGTTAGTCGTTGTTGTCCAACTTGTGTCCAATGTGTTTCACTGATCCCAAGTACCTCTAGGTTGTATCTTCTCATTTCTGCAGCAATTTGGAAGGCTCTCCCGGTGTCCCACATTGTACGAACATTCCATGTACCTAAATAAATGGTTGCTCTGGTTGTCAGAAGGGGCATCGGCCTCGTAACTTCCGAAGGGATTCGGCTTTCATCATGAGGCGTCATAATTCTTCTAAATGAAGACCTTCTGACTCCCAGGGCAGAGTTTAAAAGGTTTGAATAATTTTTTCTGGTTAGCGTTTTTTTAGCGAGTTAGTTTTCTACGGGATGGGGACGCTAACCCCATGCCCAACGCTCCTCCTTTATCCGGTCTTGGGACCGGCAGTAGCCCCCGGAGGGACTCCAGGCGAAGTTGACATATGGGTCAGTTCCATAGATAAATGTGCGCCGGTTGTCCTTGACATTGACGACCATCGGTAAACTGATCGATAGTCAGTGACCCAACTCTCGAATTTTTGTAATCGTCATACTTTTATGGTGTAGTGAGTAGTTTTTATTGGATGAAAATAAAGTGCGGATACCGAGTGTTCGTTGCATACTATCGTGAGACATATTCTCTCTGTACATCAGTAGTCTTCTTAGTCTCTTTTATTGTTCAGCCTTATGATATTTAAACAAGACGACTTTTTCAACACCAAAATCTAATGATTTATGATGATAAATAATCTCATGAGACGAGTAGTTTTATTTTCATCCCACCTTGATAATTTCACTTTATATTAGCTGACTGATGGCCCTATGTCACGCATCATTATTAGATTACATTTGTCTTGTCACGGAATTCTTCTACCTGTCTGTATTAGACAGTTCAGGAGTCTTAACTTAGAGTAACTTTTGATAAAACCAAATGGGTTATTACTTGCGGTGATCACAGTTTTCCACTTTTTTTATCGCCAGGCTATCCCATCAGTGGGCAATTTATAATGCATAAATCTCTAAAACAACACATGATCATAAGGATCAAATTGCTGATCAACAAAAAGTAATGAGTCCATACAGGTAAGAGTTGGTTTATCGATCGATTAAATGACTTAAATAGAGCAAAGATGAATAGTACACGGGAGAGATAATTCATATATCTTACAAGTTTATTGCAGCGAATAGAGTCTCACAAAATTACTGCAACACGAATGTACACATTTTTCTTATGATTCCTTAAAGGTAATAAAACTGTACCAAAACTTCGACAAATCACAAGCAAGTACTCAAATTCGAAGTACGTGGTATTTTCAAAGTTTTTTCTAACAGAGTTAAACACGGCGTATAAATATGTAGTGTACGG